GACAACATACAAAAGGACGAAGAAGAAATAGACATAATGTCTAAATATATTAGAAATAGAGTGTAAGTGTTTTTTCGGTTTTGAAAAAATTATTTAAAAAAACAAACATTTTATTTCATTCGGAAAGATATTTTTATACAAATTACGTTATAACAACAACCTCAAATTTGTTAAAACAAAACCTCGAATTTCACATATATACAAATCATTTACAAATATCACACATAAACGTCAACGTCCTATTTCGACTACGATAAACAAAAGGCTTTTACCATAGACATATTAATATGTAGATGGTTTTTATAATTAAATTGGTTTTCTGTTATATACCAATTGTTGTGGCATTATTTATGCCTTACCATTTCTTAAGTAACGCAGTAATTGAAAAAATGGAGGATGATTTCAACAAAGGCGCGATTCAAAAATTAAACAAAAAGTTGATAAAACTGGTGACCTGATTAGGGTAATGGGTTTAGGCCCCGATTTAAATCCAAGAAAATATTTGGGGATGTCTTTAAAAAAATTGCAAATATTACCAATAAATATTTCTATATAGAGGGGAGTTAATTAATGTAATGCAAAATTAGTGGAACAATTTATAAGAAAATTGCGACTTTTATTAAATATTTGGTACCTAATTTTTAGAATAATGTTATTTGTCAGAAGAAATTTTCTCGAAAAAAACTATATTGTTAAAATTTGTTTAAAACTGCTGAACATTATAAAACAACCGATATAAAAAAAAATTGTTTTTATTTTTTTGTTTTAGGGAATTGGGAAATTTTTTTAAAACAACTGTAAGCGACTTAATGGATGATTTATATGGAAATGAATAAAATATATAAAACACTACGATTATCTCGGCACAAACGGCAGAAAAGTGTATGGAACGCCGTTTTACTATTTAATAACATAGCGCAAATTGTTATGTTAAATAGTAAAACAGCGCGCGCCAATTTGATATTTATTTTATCTTTAATAGTTATCAAACGTTTTACTATTTAAATAACTTGCAATTGTGCTGTATGGAAAAAGTAAAGCTTTTATAGAGAAACGTTATATATTATACATAGTTTTGGCAAATATCGTTTATTGCAAAAACTCAAAGAGTTTTGGCATTATCCTATATTGTAAAAAATCAAGAGTTGTATGTAGCTATTCACATTAAAAGGTGTCACTAATACTTTTGTAGACTTGCAGGTTATCGTATAAATAGTTATTGCAACACTCGTGTGTTGAAAAACCTTATTAATTAAAAGAATATAAAAGTTAAAATACTTTTTGCAATTGTCATAGATTGCAAAAACTCACTTTGTAATTGTTAAGGTTTATGCGATTGTGCTTTATGGGAAAAAGTAAAGCTTTTATGGAGAAAAGTTAAATATTATACATAGTTTTGGCAATTATCATATATTGCAAAAACTCAAAAAGTTTTGGCAATTATCGTATGTTGCGGAAACCCAAAGAGTTGTATTTACATTAAAAGACGTCACTAATAGTTTTGGAGACTTGCAGATATTGTATAAATACTAATTGCAACACTTGAATGTTGTAAAAACTTAAACTTTACTTAAAATACATTCGACTTTTGACAATATACGAATGTTGTAAAAAGTATGGCAGACCTGTCTAGGGAAAACAAAAAACACTAGATTTAAGGATTTTAAGGTGTTGTCTCTGGTAAGACCACATATGTGGGTAAGACGGTGCAGTGCGCGGCAGGTTAGCCAACCGTTGGCGGGAAAATGTGTTGTTCTATGGTTGGTTCCTAATCTATAATACCTAACAGTTTGCTGTGTTTTGGAAAGTTTTAATTATAATAAATAAAAGCAAGAGATTTTCGAAGATAGATACTGGGTTTTGTAAGAAAATGGACAGAAGAAACCTTAATAACAGTGTTTTTTGGTGTTGTCTCTGGTAAGACGGTGCAGTCACCAGAGATAAAGAAGGTCACTGCACTGCAGTGTTACCAATGTCATATATTAAAATTATTCACCCAGATGTCTGAAATTATCCGCCAGGATCCGATTTTTTAAAAGGGAAAAGGTGCCAATTTTAAAAATACAAAGATACAAATACTTTTTATTAAAAGCATAAATAATGATGTATTAATATTATTAGCCTAAAACAGTGAAATTTAATAGTATATTAGGTATCAAGTTTGATAAACGCACGAGCGAGCTTGCGAGCGAGTGCTTAAATTAATGAGTGTATAGAAAAGTTTATAAACGAGGTTTATATCCTATAGAGCGCCATCTATGAAACAATAGGGGAGTCTGTGTGTCACCGTCAAATGTCAAATTTTTACATTTTATAAACACAGATTATTAAGATTATAAATCGTATTTCTTGAAAATGGACAGCTTTTTACAGTGAAAGTAAAGAAAATGTTTTGTAAGCACTTTACAGTGGAGTCCGTGCCCGAATTTAAGTTATAGCTTACTATTTAATACTTTTGTGTTTTTGTATTGAGATAATAAAATAATTTTTACATTTAGTATTATTTTACAAGAAAGGCACTTTATTTTAACGATTGTATGACATTTGACAACTGTCAACTAACTTAAAACTTAATTCAGCCCGTGACTAAAAACCTGTTGCTAACTTCAGCCCGTGACTAAAACGCCATAAAGCCACAACTTGTGAATGTGTATTTAAATGGTCACTTAGTGTCGTGGAAACTTTTCTTTTCTTTCAAGCATGTTTAGTACGTTATTAAGGTTTCTTCTGTCCATTTTCTTACAAAACCCAGTATCTATCTTCGAAAATCTCTTGCTTTTATTTATTATAATTAAAACTTTCCAAAACACAGCAAACTGTTAATTATTATAGGTTAGGAACCAACCATAGAACAACACATATTCCCGCCAACGGTTGGCCAACCTGCCGCGCACTGCACCGTCTTACCCTTAGAAGAAAAAACAAGGTCTTTCCAGAGACCACAATCCACATCCTGGATTGTGCCAGAGACAACACCTTAAAATCATTAAATCTAGTGTTTTTTGTTTCCCCTAGACAGGTCTGCCATACTTTTTACAACATTCGTATATTGTCAAAAGTCGAATGCAATACTTGTATTTTAAGTAAAGTTTAAGTTTTTTCAACAATCAAGTGTTGCAATAAGTATTTATACAATATCTGCAAGTCTCCAAAACTATTAGTGACGTCTATTAATGTAAATACAACTCTTTGGGTTTATGCAACATAGGATAATTGCCAAAACTCTTTGAGTTTTTGCAATATATGATAATTGCCAAAACTTTGTATAATATTTAACTTTTCTCCATAAAAGCTTTACTTTTTCCCATAAAGCACAATCGCATAAACCTTAACAATTACAAAGTGAGTTTTTGCAATCTATGACAATTGCAAAAAGTATTTTAACTTTTATATTCTTTTAATTAATAAGGTTTTTCAACACACGAGTGTTGCAATAACTATTTATACAATAACCTGCAAGTCTACAAAAGTATTAGTGACACCTTTTAATGTGAATAGCTACATACAACTCTTAAGCCTGAATTATAGATTGCCTTCCTTCCTTCCTCCCGTAGTCGTGCCCGTACGATTTGTGCGTCTTGTAAAAAGTCAATTTATAGATTTCCGTGTAAAATTCCGTAACCATGCGCGATGACACCTAAAATGCTTGACATTTGTTATTGTTTATATTTTGCGTTTTACCCATTGTGTGTAAATATGAAAGAGTAAAGGCAGTAACTGCTAAACAAGAAATTTGTGGGAAATTAGCATAAACTACATTTTTATAAAAAGCAGTAGGTATTTAACTGATTTATTTAACTTATAAGATAGTTTACTGCATTTCTTTGTTGAATTAAGATACAAAATGTCCATAGCCAAAGCACAGGAAAACGCATTTAGAATTTTTTTGTAGTTAAGTACTGCCTTTCTCCATAGTAGGGCAGTATAATGAAAAAAAACATCGAACAAGACGTTGTAAGACTCGTCCACTTTACCAAGACCGGGAAACTACGGGGTTTTACAAAGCAACGTTTCTAAAAATGAAAGACATTGATCATAAACAATATCTAAATATTATTATTTAATAAACTGAACACCTACCTTAAATAATACTAAACAATCATGTATTTTAAATATTTTGCTGTCACCCTACATGTCCATAACAAGCACTGTGATTGGTCATGTCAAAACCTTTACGGTGAAAGATAAAACTTAAAAATTTCTACGGAAGGAAGGACTGCCGTCCTTACGGTACGGAAATCTATAACTGGCACTACGATTTAAATAAACATTTTTGACGTAATTGTCACATTAACATTGCCCGTTATTAATTTTAATTAAACTTAACAATTATTGATACTTTAAAATATTAAAATAACTTCAAAATATGATTTTGTTAAGAAAATATTTTATTCTTTGATTTTTTTTATTACTATAATTGCAAAATATTATCACAAAGTATTAAAAATTCCTACACAGAAAATGTTAATGGTGACAATTACGTAATGTTCATCTTCTACGGGAGGAAGGAAGGAAGGAAGGAAGGCAATCTATAACTCAGGCTTAACTGGCACTACGATTTAAATAAACATTTTTGACGTAATTGTCACATTGCCCGTTATTAATTTTAATTAAACCTAAGAATTATTGATACTTTAAAATATTAAAATAACTTCAAAATATGATTTTGTTAAGAAAATATTTTATTCTTTGATTTTTTTTATTAAAATAATTGCAAAATATTATCACAAAGTGTTAAAAATTCCTACACGGGAAATGTTAATGGCGAGAATTACGTAATGTTCATCTTCTACGGGAGGAAGGAAGGAAGGAAGGAAGGCAATCTATAAGTCAGGCTTTAGACTTTTTACAATATACGATAATTGTCAAAACTCTTAGAGTTTTTGCAATATATGATAATTGCCAAAACTATGTATAATATTTAACTTTTCTCTATACAAGCTTTACTTTTTTCCATATAGCACAATTGCATGTCATTAAATAGCAAAACGGCGTTCCATAAAAGTGTATTTTTTACAATGTTACAATTTACTAAATTTAAGATTCTCATTATTTGTGGTAGGTATTAGGTACATTTTATTTTATCCAATCATGAGAAGTAAACTTTGCCAAGGAAGAAGGAATAAATTTGGATTTTTCTACCAGTGGCGCCCCTATTTTAAATTTTTTTTGGTTTAAAATTTTCCAAACTAAAAATTTTAGCTTTACATATAAATTTATATTTTTAACTAAAATACGAAATTTACAAACTAAACGAAGGAGCGAGTTTTGTAATGGACGAATGCGACAAAAGGTCTTATGTCATGAGTTCTTTATGCTATTTTATGTATTTTGCAAAAATTATATAAAAAAATTAATTTTATACCTTAAATTTAATTTGGTTGAATTTTACTTTAGATAGTTAGTTTAGGCTGTTAATGTTAAAGAAGAAAAAAAGGATTTTCTTTGGTGTTAAACAAAATTTATTGCCAAAGGTCTCGTAAGTACTAGAAAAATCATTAAAGTATTATAACCAATATGCAAAATATTATGCTGTTTAAAGTATAGCCAACCAATAAAATCAAAATTTTGGGTGGGATAAAGTATCTCATTAAAGCACCGACAGCAATGACAGTAATTAAGTCATTATGAACGCAAAATAGATAAAAGTAATTTCTTGAGTATAATTTATTTGGGCAAAATTTTCTAAATCTTGAATAAATATTTAATAAAATAATTTAGATTAAATTGGTAAAGTTAAATTTTTTAGAATTTAAAAATACATTTAAAATAAAAACACATTTTCAACCAAAATAGTTTAATATGTTAATTTTTTTAAAACTCAAAAAAATTGATATTCAAAAAATATTTTAAATATAAAGTAACAGTTTAAGTTTATAAATATTGATTTAATAGTTTTAATGTTTTATTCTACAAAATTTTCACAATACATTTAAATGTTTTACACTTTGTACATGTAATGTATTTGTATTAAACATTATTATTGACTGTAAAGTTAAAATTTTTGTGTTAAAAATGTATAAATTTAAAATATTTAGTTAAAAATAAAATTGTTGTTTAAAATCATTTAAATGATCGATAAATTTTTAATCCAAAAATTCAAGCATAAATTTATGCTTAATTAATTACCACTTTAAAATTTAAACTGATATTTAAATTTAATTTAATCATTTAAATGATTCTTTACAAACCGATAATTTTGTAGAATAAAATATAAGAAGTTCTAATTTAGAACTATAGTTAACTACAATTGTAATCAATATTTTTAAACTTTACAGTTTTATACCGTTGCATATTATATTTCAAATATTATTTAACTATTAATTGTTTAAAAAAATTAAACTTTACATTTATGTTTAAACATCATTAAACTTTACCTATATAGTCTTTACACTACATATCTAATTTAATCTAATACCTAAATGCTAAAACGGCGTGTGTGGATGTTTTTTTACACGTCATGTATTGATTAAAACAATCACTCCAACATTAAAATAACCTATTCCATTCATCAATTTGAATAATTCCAAAGAATCCAAAGACAATATTAACTCCTTCACGAAATTTTCCCACAATAGTATGGAAAAATTATTATGCCATAATATGTAATAATATGTATAAATGTTTTTGCCGTCTGAGCCGAATTCCGTAAATTTTTATTAATTAATATATCAATATTTAACATGTTACAAAATATATTTATGTAGTTTAAGAATTTTTATTAATTAATATATCAATATTTTAAATGTTACAAAATATATTGTTATATGTATATGTAGTTTAAGAATATAAATAAAATAAATAAGTAAATCTTAAAATCTAGTTTAATCCTCCACGATTTCTTTGAGAAGGGCCTTAAGTTCGTGGATCTCCTGTTTAAGGACATCGAATTCTGTAGCAGCAGCATTGGCCACATCTTTTTCTCTGAAATATCTTTGGATCAGCAGGGACATCAGCGCTGGATACTCAACAGTGTCATGCTCGTCTATAAAGTTATATTTGCTCGATTTCAAGCCTAAAAATGATTAGTAAGGAAAGTATCCGTATAAAGCACACTAAACCCTGATAGCACAGTTTGTTCTAAGAATGTTTTTTAAACCTTCCAGTGGGAATATTCTTAGGATCATGTTATATTTCTTCTAAAGAACATGCTTAAAAGAAATATAGCATAATCCTAAGAATATTCTCACTGGCCTATAGGCAGGTTCTTAGAAGGTGCAAAGTTTAGTGGTAAAAATTAATCCACTCTAAACATATGCTTAAAATGTTGAGAAAGTAATTGCTATGGAAAGTTCATTTAGTAATATTCCTGGAACATTCTGTTAAGCATATTCAGTTCAGTTAGGTATCTATATAATAGTAAAATATACCATAATCTACGTATAAAGGTACCTTTACTTAGTATTAAATACTAAGTAAAAAACACACCCCAAAATATTTTTTATATTTATTTGTCAAATTAAAACAATATTCGATAACAAAAATACTTTTACTATATATAGGTATCTAAATTATCCGGCTTTTACATAAAATCTTCTATCCAACTTAAATACAATGAAAAATGTTTTTCTTATTTGGTTTTTTCTTTTATGAAGAATTATTTTATAAGGAAATATTTTGATTTTTTTTATATTTTATTATATATTAAAAATAAATATTTATTAATTTGTATACCGGTTTTTTATATCTGAATTAAAATTTTTATGTATAATAATATTAACTATCTTCAACTTCAATCTAATCTGACTTATCCCACAAAATTTTCCAATTTTACTTTTGCAACTTATGGTTTAGAGGTCAAATTGATTATTTAATATTTTTAAATAAATATAGGTATATTAACACGCAAATTTTTTTAAGGGGACGACAAATACATTTCACTGTCATATTAAGACAGTGAGGCGTATTTGTCGCCTCCTGAAGAATTTTACGAATGTAGAATCCAACATATTAGAACGTGAGTATCTGACATATTTGGAAATATTCTCAAAAGCTTTCTAGAAGATCCATAAGAAACCTTCTAAGAACATTCCAAAAACGTATTCTTAAAATGTTCTTAGAATGCTTTTTAGGAAGGTTTTAAGAAGCTTCTAAGAATCTAATTGCATCATTAAAAGGGTATCTATTGAATGTTTTAAAAGTCCCTAAGAACATTCTAAGCAATAAGGGAAGGTTCTAAGAATATTCCATTATTCCGGGTCATATCTTCTTAGAAGATTCTTAGAACCAAAAATCTTAAAAAATTGTGGAAAGTTTTCTTCATACCCACTTTTTTTCCAGACCACATGTCCATGAAAATGGTGACACCAAACGGGGTCGGAATCAGATTTAAAGGGGATGGGGTGGTGGTTTGCATCATGTATTCCAAATAAAAGTCCGTCTTCCCAAAAGTCCATTCCACGTCCAAATTATCAATAACTCTAAGTTTTTTTTTAATATTACCACAATATTATCAATTATAACACCTCACCTTTGAAATGTACTGGACATGGTAGCAATAAGCATGTTCAAAATCATAACACACGTCAATACCTCGTACAAGCCAAAAGCTATGTAGCCGACAGTCTGAGTGAATGTATGCTCATTTATTATGGTGGTTTTTTCTGTTTCCCCCGGTAAATTTTCAATAATGACATCTGCAGACTCTAGTGGAGACATGCAAAGCAGTGCCCAGAAGAAAGTTTTCATTGTCGAAACGAAGTTTACGAAACTGGAGACTTGGGCTGTTTTTATCCCGTTAGAATCCACTTGCACCATACCTAGTGACAAAATAATTGAAAATTTTGTATGTGCACCATCCCGAATATTCTTACCATCGTAGTACTGATAAAACTTGCATAAGCCGGCAGAAAAGGACAAAATGATTATGATGAATATCGTTATGTATTTTGCCAGGTCCGCGCACATTTTTCCCAGCGAAATTTGCAGCGGGCCTAGGTAATAGTTGAGTCGACAAAAAAACATCAGTTTGAAAAACGACATTATCGTAGCGACTGCAAAAGTTCCTTCGGCTATGAGCAGAGGGTCCAAATGATGCCAGAACTTTCTTTCGAGATCTACCTAAAGAAAAACTGAATAAAATCGCCTCAAAGATTTGTTTTAATCGCCCATGTACATTGCTGTTAAAAATTTCTATTGTAATTTTACTAAACAGGTTTAGGAAGTTTTTACGCACCGCAATATAGTAATAATAAAACTCAGTTTTGTAAATTCACTACAGGATTCATTACAACTCAATTTGGGAAAATTACAAAACTTTTGTTGAAATTCACTAAGCATTTATTAAACATTTGTTCATTAACATTACTATCAGGTATTGTAATTTTGTTAAAAAATATACTAAATATGTTTAGTAACTCAGTTTAAGAAAATTACAAAATATATTTTACAATTTTACTGAACTGAAGAAAATTCGTTTCGCAATATTACAATACAAATATTTAGTAATTTACGAATGATGGTATTGTAATTTAATACGAAAAAAAACCTGCAATTTTCTTAGTTTCTGCAAGAAACTTTCTTGACCCATTACTGTAAAGATTTTAAAAAATTGAACCTTCACCTCGCCAGGGTTTTTGTTTTAAGTGCGTTTCACCAACTTCTAATTCCGACAGACAGCTAGACAGATAGACCTATTTTGGGTCTTATCAATGTCGGGCAATTTGGTGTATTGAAACACACCAAAAACGAAAGACACCTGAGCTTATATACTGTCCACCTAAGTCAACCGAGGCGAGATGTAAGAACATCACGTGATTGCCGCAATCGGAACATACTATGCATTTTACATAACATTATAGCAAATCAAATTACAAACGACGTTTGTAAATCTGAGATGCTTTTTATTAGAAACTGTCAAACTGTTTAGTAAAATTACAATGCGTGTAGGATTTATACATATGGATTGTAAAATTACAACTTATCTTAGTGGATTTCCCAAAATATCTTGGAAGATTACTCTAATTGTAGATATTATAATTTTGTATTGGTATACACTGATTTGTAATTTTAAAGTCAATTCTACAATAAAGAATTGTAAAATTACTATAAGGATCTGACAAAATCAAAAACATTGTAAAATTGGAACCTGTTTAGTACTTTGGCTTACAACAAATGCGTATTAAAATTGCAATACAATACAACATTTTGTAATTTTACTATGCAACTGTAGTAATTTTACAAACATTTTTAACAGTGCAACTCTAGCTTTACCTGATCATAGTTGACATAGTCGAAATAGGAGGCCAACCAGAAAAAGAACGTCATGACAAATAGAGTGTTGGTGATCAAGGCATGCCAGTTCCAGAGGTACTTGAAGTATCTGCGTGGGCCTTGCAATAAGCACATTCTCACGCAACTCCAGATGTGGCCAATCACAAACACCACAATTACAGGTTCCAGACCTGTGGAGGGGGGCATGCGCTTTTGATTCGTTTTGTCCATGTTCGATTCAAAGAATATTAATACCAGGAACAGACCATATCCTTCGAAAGTGGTAAAGAATTTTCTGGTTAAAAAGTTCTATCCCTGATAGCACAGTTTATTCTAAGAATGTTTTTTAAACCTTCCAGTGGGAATATTCTTAGGATCATGCTATATTTCTTCTAGTCATGTTCTAAGAATGCTTTTTAAACCTTCCAGTGAGAATATTCTTAGCATCATGCTATATTTCTTCTAGTCATGTTCTAAGAATGTTTTTTAAACCTTCCAGTGAGAATATTCTTAGGATCATGCTATATTTCTTCTAAAGAACATGCTTAAAAGAAATATAGCATAATCCTAAGAATATTCTCACTGGCCTATAGGCAGGTTCTTAGAAGGTGCAAAGTTTAGTGGTAAAAGTTAATCCACTCTAAACATATGCTTAGAATGTTGAGAAAGTAATTGGTATAGAAAGTTCATTTAGGAATATTCCTGGAACATTCTGTTAAGCATATTCAGTTCAGTTAGGTACCTATATAATAGTAAAATATACCATAATCTACGTATAAAGGTACCTATACTTACGTATTAAATACTAAGTAAAAAACACAACCCACAATATTATTTATAGTTATTTGTCAAATTAAAACAATATTCGATAACAAAAATACTTTTACTATAGGTATCTAAATTATCCGGCTTTTACATAAAATCTTCTATCCAACTTAAATAGAATGAAAAATGTTTTTTTTATGAAGAACTATTTGGTTTTTTCTTTTATGAAGAATTATTTTATAAAGAAATATTTTGTTTTTTTATATTTTATTTTATGTTAAAAATAAATATTTATTAATTTGTATACCGATTTTTTATTTCTGAATTAACATTTTTATGTATAATAATCCTAACTATCTTCAACTTCAATCTAATCTGACTTATCCCACAAAATTTTCCAATTTTACTTTTTATGAAATAATGTCATACAACTTATGGTTTAGAGGTCAAATTGTTTATTTAATATTTAAAAAAAAAATATATTAATATGTCGCAAAATTTTTTAAGGGGACGACAAATACATTTCACTGTCATATTATGACAGTGAGGCGTATTTGTCGCCTCCTGAAGAATTTTACGAATGTAGAATCCAACAAATTAGAACGTGGGTATCTGACATATTTGGAAATATTCTCAAAAGCTTCCTAGAAGCTCCATAAGAAACCTTCCAAGAACATTCCAAAAACGTATTCTTAAAATGTTCTTAGAATGCTTTTTAGGAAGGTACGTTTTAAGAAGCTTCTAAGAATCTAATTGCATCATTAAAAGGGTATATCTATTGAATGTTTTAAAAGTCCCTAAGAACATTCTTAGCAATAAGGGAAGGTTCTATCTTCATATCTTCTTAGAAGATTCTTAGAATCAAATTTTGCTATCAGGGTTACTTTTGCCGGTCACTGTATATATAGATACTTACCGGATATGTGGGAAATCATTTTGTTCAGCGGTATATTCCAATGCATTAGAGCTGGATGCGCAGGCGATATAACGGAAAAAATCGTTATGACGGGCAAGAACGGAAGTCTCAACAGCGGATATATGGTCCGAACTATTGTCGGCTTGAACTTGTACTCGTGCCAGTTTCCGCACCAGGCTTGCTCGATAATTTGTTGGGTGTTCGGATGCGCCACGAAACCTTTTTGCTTGTAATCGATCGCCATCACCAATCTCGGGAAAATATTCGAAGGGGAAGTGATTCCGCCGGTCTGCGATAAAATTATCTCCATCTCGGTGGTGCTTCTGGAGCAGGCTATGAGATCCACCGCGAAGTTGCTGATGTCGTTTGCTAGGTCTGCGTACGGTTTGCGGAACTCGGGCACCTGAATAAACACAAGGGTCAATGATGATGTAGCGAGTACCCCTCTGGATCTTGAAGCGATCGAGAGCGGTTTTAAGCTCGCTGGAATATTCGGGAAGGCACTTGCGTGACCGGTATCACGTAGGCACTGAATATATAAGGAACAGGGCAGCATGGAGCAGTCAGTCAAGCTTTGGTACTCGCGACGAAATAAAATAAATATAGGTTCGTGCAAATAAATAGACTCTTGTACATTAGTGAGTAGTTAAGTGTTTAGTTAGTTTTATAATTTATAATTTCTTAGTGTTTTAAGTGTAATTAAGTTATAAAATAAATCGTTTAGTTCGTTAATAACCCAGTGCCTGTTTTAGTTCACACTGCGAAGAGTAAAAACGTTACAATAAAGAACAGAGATCAAATTTTGGATGTTGTTTTTCAAAATATTCTTCATGAAGATCTTCAAAACATCATTATCATCATGAGCAACCCTCGTTGATAGCACAAGAATCTTTGAAGAAGAAATATTCCTGCTGAATTAGACATACCAAGATGAGTCCGAACCATCAAAGTTCAAAGGGTTCCTTACCAGAAAAGAGCATTCCCTCAATTCGATGCAAAGTTCAAAAGCTGACAGTATGGGATCGAGGCTGGAATGGCAAATATAGGCGGGGTTGGCGACCGCTTTGTACAAGTTGAGTCTCATTGTTTCGGCGTGCAGTAAATCGTCCCTTTCCATGCTCAAAACGCACTCGTTGCATCTGCAGGTCGGGTGGTGAGGTTTGTTGATCGTGTGCCCTCTCTCTATCAACATCTCGATGATTTCGTAGTGACCTAAAAAATAAAACGCACTGTAGCTTATTTTTCCGTTTGCTGTGAATAAATAAATAATTCGTTATAAACAAAAAAACGATTGTTAACTATCGGTAGTCACATTGCCAACTACCAAAAACTATCTATCGATGGTTCTCGACCCTAGATTGGAAAAGGTTTCGCACAATGGGGCAAACAATTGCGCACTGCAGCGCCCGAACTTTCAGCACAGCAACTTTCAGCAGAAAAAGAAAAAATTACCAGCCGGGGTGAAAATTCTGATCCACCAAACACAGGTTGTGCTGAGAAATTTCGGGATAATTATGAGAACTGAATTTTAACTGAACTTTAAGGTTGGTAAAAATAACTACATACGTTCTCATACTCATACTCACTGTAGCTTCATAGTTTTTACCAACATTGCAAAAAATTAAAATGTGTCGAGTTACGGTATAATAATTATTGTTATATTTACCACACTGTGCGGCTAAAATTAGGGGAGTCACAGAATCTGGAAAATCGGAGCTGTGAGTTACACCGACAAACTCCAAACTGGGAGAATTGTTTCGGATTTTATCCAACAAAAGTTCCAGTATTTTTGTTTGATTTTCCCTCACTGCATGTAGAACACAATCACCTAAAAATTGTTGTAATGGATTGTTTTTACAGGAAAGGTACCTAACTATGTATTTACCTATATCTATCCCTTTTCTATGCAGTAGTGTAGCTACCATTCCTTCAGAATGAGACTGTACTGCTATCAAAAGAGCTGAAACTCCTTGAAAGTTTACGCAGTTTATATTAAAATCTGGATTTTGAATCAGGAACTCTTCTACTTTTAGTACATCACCTAGATTAACGAAAGGGAAGAAAATAATGAACAAATATAAATTTTTAATATAAAAAAGCCCTGTGTAGTTTTCTAGAAATCTGCAAATACCTGAAGCCACCAGTTCAAAAAATTTCTTCTCATTTTCCTGCAAATGTGGCAAAAGTATACTGGGTCTTCTATGTATAACGTTTTCTTTTGGCGCGGTATATCTGTTGGCAGGTCTGGACCCAGGAGGGGTTTGATTTTGAGGTGGGTCCCCGGTGGGGTCCATAAACGGGTCCATTTATTTTTTTGTTGGGATGTAGAAAATTAGTATATTAAAATGACTTTTGTCAAAAATAAGACAATTTTGTTTTTAAATTGGATATGTCAGTGGTTATATCACCTATAGGTTGTCCAAACTGTGTTAACGTCATTTAATACACGATTTTAATTATACACAAGCGGAGCGAGTTTTTAATAAATGAGTGATCTAGAAGTTTATTTTACGACCATTTTGAATTTTTCCTTAAACATGACGTAGAATTGAGGTTAGATATCTGTCACTGACCTTTTAAATTTACCATCTAAAAATCACAAAGTTAGGCAACCCACCACTGCAAAGACTCTAAGGGCCAGTGTTACCAGATTCTGTCAAAAAAGGACCGTACGTTTCGTTCGAATTTACCTTAATTACAAAATGACACAATGAGACAATGCAAATAAATGCAATTATGTCAAGTTGACGTTATTTAATATTGTCCATTGAGTCATTTTTGTAATTAAGGTAAATTCGAACGAAACGTACGGTCTTTTTTTGACAGAATCTGGTAACACTGCTAAGGGCGGCCATTTTTATATTCCTTACAGTTATTGTACTTTGGGTTTGTGCTGTTTATACAGATAAAAAATCGTTTTAAACGCTGTGTTTCTTACAGAGGCACTTGTAAGCCTCAAATGTGGCCTTAAAGTGCTAAGAACAACCATTTTACTCCTCTTTTATAAAAAATAAACTGTATTTATTCAGGGCTGTCATTAAACTGTCAAATGTCAATTTTAAGGTTAATTTACCATAACCCACAAATTAACCTTAAAATTGACATTTGACATTTGTCAATTTTAAGGTTAATTTACCATAACCTTAAAATTAACATTTGACAGTTAAATGACTGTAAGACACACAACAAAAACAATTTTTACTATGCGCAAAACGAGATAGACCTTGTTGTGTGGATTGTGTATGCATGCAGGAATGTTTTTCCAGAATTTAAATTAAATTTTAAAATTGAATTATTTGACATTTTATCTGACAACTGTCAAGTTGGTAAAAATCTGACATCTGTCAGACGAGTTTAACCTCAATTTTTCCAATCTGACACAAATCAAACGGTTTTTTAACCCCACTTTTTCCTAATTTAATAACATAATGTCTAGAGTCCCGTCAGACGGGTCTCCATTGCGCTCCCGTTCAAACTTTGTGACGTCACACACTGTAAATAGGTATTATTTAACGAACGATAGGATTATTACAATAACCTCGGTAGCTCGATGGAAGGGCACCTGCTTTGCATGCGAGAGGTACGTGGTTCGATACTTCGCGCCTGTACAACTTTTTTTAATTTTTTTTTTAAGAATTTATATACCGAAATTATACAATGTGGCCTTAAAAGCATTTATATTTAATTTTACATTAATATTTTAATTTATTTACCTTTCCTCATAATCATTTTGCTAGTTATATAATATAAAATGTAATTAAATGAATATTCCTTTTTACTCAATGGGGCGGGGGGGGGCCAATGGGGCGGGGTCGGTTGGGTTGGGTTGTTGGGTTTGGGTTGGTTTCGAAGCGGGCGGACTCGGGACGTTGGTTAAGGAAAAAAGATCTGCTTCCCGTCCTAAGATTGCGTCATTGGATGACGTCACTCTGTTAACGGGAGCGCAATAGAGAACCGTCTGACGGGACTCTAGACGCGGCGATTTAATAATTAGTAATTTAAGCGCCATTTTAATTGCAAATTAGGCACGAGCGAAGCTTATTAATTTAAATATGGGCATAAAGAGACATCTAACATATGCTATATTTTTTATAGATACCAGAATTGTAACTTAGAATACTGAAAATCTTTCTTAAAAATGGGGAGAAGCAGGTTTTCACAGTAAAAGTGAATAGGATAATTTTTATGGGTACTACATCCAAAATTAATAAAGCTTTATAGTAAAGTCAAAAAATACTAGACTTTTGACAGCTGTCAATTAACTTCAGCCCGTGACTAAAACACCATAAAGCCACAACTTGTCAATGTATTTAAAAGGTCACTTAGTGTCATGAAAACATGTACTATAATGGGCATTTTAAAGGTGGAAGTAGAAAAAATAAAAAACTATCATTATATAATAAAAACTTATTTTATTTAAATAAAACAATACAAACAATATCATGGGCTAACATCCACATAAATTACAGACCACAGGAAAAAATAATTTATTTGCAATAATTTTATTGATTATTATTGAAGACTAGTTGGATTGCTTAAATAATTTGTACATGTAATTAATAGAAAGAAAAATGCTACTTAGATAATTTAAATTTGAGAGCATATTTTCTTAACAATATAACACCGAACATTTATTAATATTTTAAGATTGTAAACAAATAAAAAATAAATAACAATAAATAGTTAAAACGATTTTTTCTTCATTTTTAAACCCTGGATATCATCAGATCAAGTATTACTTTATATAACTAACTAGGAACAAATATTTCGAGAAGCCTTAACTTAATTTCTTCCTAATTTATAAATATAATTTTATCACAAAATTATAACAACACACACACAGTTTTTCTACTTCGAAGCAAAACAGAAGGGTTTCAAAAATATTTCTCTAGTTGTGTAGATATCTTCTTCAGTCGCATATTTACATGGTATAATGTAGAGATTTTTTGTAAGATTCAAATACTGAAATTGGCAATGTTTTTTTTCTTCTGTTTATTGGTAAGACTGCTGCCTGAACATTGCCGAAATTTCCTCCAAAGATTTGTTTTTTGTTTCTGGTACTTTCTTGTAAATAAAAATCAAAAACAGAACTTGCAAGATGACGAATACCACAAACACGTATGGGCCCAACCATTCCTGCAAAGAAATTTTCATTTATAAAACAATATAAGTTTAAATAACTACAAATCTACAAATACTAAGTCAACTTTAAAGTATTTTTTACGGTTAACCAAAACGCTTTTATAACGGTATAGATACGACAAATTACCAAATTTGGGGAATGGTTTATTTAGTTATTTTACCTACATAATAACCTTTTTGATCTACTAAGAAAATAACGCAATAAAAATAATATAAATACCACAAATTTACGTAAAAATAACGCTATAATTACTAACTGTTTGCTCTCTCTTTCTAAAACATTGACATTCGTAATTTCTTTGTTCTTTTAATTTATATTTTACAAAATGGTACTTACAAAGTAATAAAGGCCACCCTAGTAAAATTAAAAAATATAACTTAATTTGTCAAAACTAATAATATTTTGCATTTTAACTCAAATGCACATTATTTTATTGATAAAAATAGGCACGTTACATCTTTAAATTATATGCCCTCTAAATATTTTACGGTTTTAAGAAAAATTATTGCTTGGGTAAAAATTCAACAAAACTAAAAACCTACAAAATTTTATAAAATCTTTTAAAAATCATTTAGTTTTAATCATTTTTTAATAACTAAAACTTTCCTTATTATATTTTGTAAAAATATTTATGAAAAAATATTATATAAATGTTTAGATAAGTACCATCTTAAAATCTCATTAGGGCGACCTGAAAAAAATTTCACTTTAAGCTTATTTCTCCTTGTCTAGTCAATATTATTAGTATTTATTACAACTAATAACCTTTAAAAATACCTGGCGTATAGGAATTATTTACGATTATAAAGTGGTCGTAAAATTATGACATGAGTAACATTTACCATTAAGTAAAAATTCTGACGTAAAAATTACCGTTAAATTTTCCTTTAGGTGAAATACACTTATAAGTAATTTTCTTTCGTAAAAATTACGTCCGTCATAATACTTTTAAGTGTTGAAAATTCAGGGTTATTAAAATAGGTAAAAATAACATAAATAAACTTATTTAAAAACTTTAAAAAAAATTCCTTCAAAGTAAATTTTTAAGGTTAATTTAACAAAATATTTACTTAACATAAGTAATATTGCCTCAAAGCTTTACGTATAATTTTTGTTGACAAACCAAACGTTGACATAACCGAAAAATTAGTTCTGGAGCATAATATATTATTAACTAACAATTTCCTAGAGAGGATGAAATATAATTATTTAAAAAAAATAATACTGGGCATATTAAGATATAAACATTTTTTGAAAGTGGATGAAATTACCTACCTAGAATTCGAAATAATTATTTTTTAATTTGGGCAAAAAATAACAAAACCACAGACTGTCAAAGTTAGAGAACTGAATATACGTTGTTTTAATAGACTTACCTGAAGAGGTAAAAAGGCCAAACCGACCAAGAAATTGGCCGTCCAGTTGATGCAGACCGCCATCGAAGTGGCCGTTGGTCTTGCAGCTTGGTTGAAAATTTCCCCCACCAAAAACCATGGGATGGAACCGGGCCCAATGGCGAACATGATGACGTAAACCAAGACGAAGATGACGCAAGCAACGCTGGCAATTGTTGAAGTAGACTAAAAAATTAATAATTGTGTTAATTCTTATCTATAAGATATTATCCAATACTTACAGCATAGAGCAAGCCAATGAAGAGAAGGAAGGTGTCGACCGTCATTCCCCCGAAACCGATGAGAAGAAGAGTTTTTCTTCCAGCTTTCTCCACCAACACCATGGAAACCAGAGTCATGAGGACGTTGATAGCCCCCATCCCCAAAGTAGCGTACGTGGAACTGGGCGGCTGTAATCCAGCCATCTGGAAGATTTTGCTCGAGAAGAACATAACAGCGTTGATACCGCTGAGTTGCTGGGCCAACATCACCATTAGAGCTATGATGAGAGGTATTCTCAGAGCGCTGTTGGTGATCATCTCTCTCACGGTGACTTTTGGAACTAGTTTAAGAGCCTCAGCTTCAGCTCTCATACCGTCCATCTCCTCGTTTACGGCTAGAGTGCCTCTGAGCCACGATAGAGCCCTTTGGGCCTCCATGTCCTGACCTTTGGTGACCAAGAGGTACTTGGGCGACTCGGGACACAGCGGTAAAGTGACTACTTGGAAAATGGCGGGCACGATCGTCATTGCCAGCAGGGTGGGCCACAAGTTCTCCGATCCGAGGAGCGACTCGAGGCCAAGGATTTGCGCGACCAATATGGAAATGGTGATGACCAGTTGGTAAACCGTCCCGACGGCGCCTCGCAAGTTCATCGGCGCTATCTCGGCGAGATACATCGGCGCCAGGCCGGCGTTCAGGCCGGAGTTGATCCCGATGAAGAATCTGCCCAGGATTATCAGCTCGTACGATCCCACGGACTTGGAGATGCACTCGCTCACCACCGCCAGTAGCACGAGGACGTTGTTCAGCAAAAGGCCACCCTTGCGGCCAAATCGATCAGCCACGAATCCTAAAAATCACCAGGTTAGTAAATAATTGTACAGTATGTATTTAAAGTTGGATATCCCAGATAGCACACAAAGTCTTGAAGATGTCTTTTGTATGTCTGTTTATGCCTGAACGTGTGAAGATCTAAAGCAACGATATATACAGTATGTCTCAGTATCTTGGAATCATATGGAAAACTTTTTTATTATTAATTTTAGGAAAAAAAGTTATTTTTCATAAAAAGTTCTGCATGGTGTAAAACTTAAAATGCAACCCACAAATATTAATTTGACATACGAGGTATGTCAAAAAATATGAATTTGGCGCAAGAGTAAATTGACAATATCAAAAATTGTTATATAGAAAAGTTAATCAGAACTAAAAACTACGTTTAAATATGCAATTTCATACATTTACATTAAAAAATTAGGTTTTGTTAATTTTTACTAATCTTTCTATTTTAAATGAACATTTATCTGTTATGATTAGAAAAAACATGAAAACCTTAAGTTAAGTCAGGGGATCTAGCAGGCCAAAAAGTTTTAGAATATCAACAAATCATTTGTTTATCAGTGAATCCTAGATTACATGTTACAGTTAAATTTGCATTGATATTGTAGCCAAAAAAGAAAAAATATTTTTATTTAATGTAAATAGATGTAATTGCATATTTGAACGTAGTTTTTAGTTCTGATTAACTTTTCTTTATAACAATTTTCGATATTGTCAAATATAAAGGTACTTTACTCTTGAGCCAAATTCATATTTTTTGACATACCCCGTATACGACTAAAAAAAAATAATATTTGTGGGTTGCATTTTAAGTTTTACACCATGCAGAACTTTTTATGAAGAATAACTTTTTTTCCTAAAATTAATAATAAAAAAGTTTTCCATATGATTCCAAGATACTGAGACATACTGTATATATGTCTTAAAGATATCTTAAAGATGTCGGACTCGGACGTTTATGACATCTTTAAGACGCCCAGTTTACGACGTAAGTCATCTTTAAGACGACTTTAAGATATCTAATGTTACAAAACACATCGTCTTTAAGATGTTGTTTTAACGGCATTATTAAGTCGTTGCTATCTGGGATGTTGTCACAACAATCACTGGATCAAAGGAACAGCTCTTGGAAAGCGTTTACATATCTTTAGGACTGTTGGGGCACTATGTGACATTTCAAAGCATACCTGTAACGGCACCTCCAATCATTCCTCCAATACAGAAAACTGATACCATCAAGGAGAAAACCATGGTAACAGAAGTTTGCTCGGGTGCTGAGCCTGTTCTGTTTTCCATGACACCATGGACCCATCCTTCAATAATCTAGAAATTAAGAATAGTATGTTTTATGAGGAGACAAGCAAGGAACAGTAAAATTTGTCATAGATCATTTAAAGTAGTAACATTAGTCTATTCTGTAAAGTCTTGAATACACAGCAAACGTAAACATGTAGAAGTGTATTGGATGACGCCACGTTCGAATACAGTTTTCTAAACCCTCGCCAAGGTATAGAGTTGTATTCGTCAGTCGAGTATAGAGATCGTAATTTGACTTTTGAACTAGTAGGTATTAATTTGAAAATTATTTTATGCTTGAAACGACATGATTGTGATTTTTTTCATTTTATTAATTAATTAAGCTGTGTTGAATATTTTTCCTAAAGGAATAATTGCCAATGGGCCATTAATTCATTTGTTCGTAGATGCTACATGTACATTTTGATCAACCAGATTTAAATATTGCTGTACTAACTATACCAGTGGAGATAGTGCAGGATCTACCAACAGACCTCATTACTAAATTATTAAAGTTTAATAGCATATCGATCGTTTTTTCAACATTTTTCAAAATTTTTAATACAAATATAGGTACTTTATATAATACATAAATATACTTAACATCATATCCTCTGTGCATACCTAAGTTATTACGGTAAATACAAATCAGACAAAGAAACTGTTTTCAACAAAACCATATGCAGAAATGAGAATATTCAAAATACTTGCATCCATCAAAAGATCAAAACTTCTTGCAATATGAATTACACCCTCTTTTCATGCTCTCAGAAATATTGACTAGAACAGTATTAGAGAGACTCCAGTTTCTATAACTTGGTAGAGTAAAGAGAAGTCGAAACCGTTGCGATATTGCATTGCGCCGTTTTTTATAATTCTCGGGGACGTTAACGATAATCATTGCCAGTAAAATTCGAAAAGCTTAAGTTTGAATGTCTTTGAAGAGAATAAGAATCCGAGGTTGCTGCATCATTTGACTGCCCCCTTTTTGAATAATTTCTAGAGACATAAATGACTGCACCATTCGACAGGGTCGAGTTTCTACCTCTCTGTTGAATATAGAAAATCAAAATAATGTAGGTATCTTGTAAGACACCATTGAGTTTGACTTTAACTATAGTCGTGCAAAGGTATAGAGGCGAAAAATATAAAAACACATGGAGACTGGCAATGTCGGGGAGCCAGTAAAACATCTTAATGACATTGAGAATACATTACTAGCTCTAACAGGGAAGTTAGCGGTGGAGGGATTACCAACTTTTGAACTCGGGGTGCCAGCCTTTAAGGTCAACACAGTCTGTGTGGAAGGGCCCCTTCTACAACAGAGAGGCAAAAAGAGGCCAAGAGAAAGTCCAAATGGAGTTAACTCAAACTCTGATGAGTAGCGAAGGTGTAAGTAGAGTGTTCTTTGGTGTAGAGGTTTTAAAAGATATTGATAAAACCTTTTGCTCCCATTTGAAGAACAAATTTGCGATTAGTTTTTAGATGCATATTTTTTTGTATTTTATTAGTTCTTATACTTTTGTTTGACCAATTTGTTGTCTTTATTTTGTATCTGTATCGTAATATAAATATGTATCATAATGAATCTCATTATGGTACAGGTAGGATATGTCCAATAAACAAATTAAAGTTTAGGAGCAGAACAATTTGAACAGGAACTTACTGGTTGGGGATTGTTGAGAACTCCGGTATTATAACCATGTTGAAAGGACGATCCTAAGGCTGAAGCTGCTATGGCGAAGGCAAGTTTAGCATTAAAACCCTGAAAAAAAAATAAATACTGTTAGATAATAAATTTTTTCTACCAATTTGCATAATCCATAATGGGCTTCAATCTATTTTTGTAGCGTTCATTTACATCATGTAACCTTGTAAATAAACTTTCCATGACTATATACGCTCTTTGTTAGATGACTTGATTATTGAAGAGTATCTTGTTTATAATGTGTTTTGGTTTGTACAATGATAAGTGGTGTAAATATTAACAGTTTTGGTAGCAATGTCGTGTTAACTTTATTTATCTGCATTTTTTATTATACATATATACATATGGTAAAAGATAAAAGTCAATTTCACCATGTGGTGTTAATGTTTTATTTATACATTTTGTACATTACATTAATTCAATAAACTAACGTGTTTTTTTAGTATTACTAACAAATTTATTCTTAAATGTAACAACAATATACTATTGCGTGATAAATACATTTTTTAAAAACGATTTTGACATGGTGTATGGTTTTGAATGAATTTTGTAATACATTGTAACGTACCTATGTAAATTATTATATAAATCCTTGAAAAATTATCAACACATTTTATACCTCGGACACTGATTTATATATTTTTAAAATTGTTAATACAATAGTCGTTTTTTCGCGTAAATACTATGAAATACTACGGTTAAATAAGTCATGACGTCACAGTTAATTCATATAACCATGGTTAGGTTTTTAACATTTGACATTTGTTTACTTGTTCATAACCTATAATTTTTGAAATGTGTTTTTACCTATTTATATTTAATTTTTATGCTTTTACAGGTGTAAATAAATTTCTTTGCCTCGCTTATACCTTGTATATTCTTTTTCTATGAACCCTAGTTCTTATACCTACCTTTTCTATACCTCTTTTTATATATAAACAGTTCTTCCCTGTTGTTTACCATAACTAAAATCCAACAGTGTTTAACGTTTATACGAAAATTATTATTGTGAAACTCAAAATTTAGAATGGAACCCCAAAGAAAAAGACGAAGGTTGGCGGTATGTTTTGGGGAAGATATGTTTAGCACAGAACATTATTCCTACATAAACATATTAAATATATATAAAAAGAAAAAGACATATTAAATATATATAAAAAGAAAAAGACTATTAACCACGTTGAATAACTAGCTCAGCGATATAGTTTTATGGTCTGGTATTTGTGACGTCATAGTTAGGATTTTTGAACGCACTCTAAACGCAAAAATGCCTTAACTATTAACCAAGGTTAAGTTTAATGACCATAGTATTTCATGGTATTTACGCGAAAAAACGACTAATAAGTAGTCAGAGTAAATAAATATTTACTTTTTCATTTCATAAAAAAATAAGAAGGTTTAAAAACATTTTTGAATAGTTTAAAGTACATTTTAAAATAGTATTTGGTAGCATTAGAAGTTTTAAAACAGTTATACTTGAGTTCAGATTTTTAATATACCTACCTATCCTAATCTTTTTTATTTCACATTACTAGGTGGGTACGGCTCTGGCTGCACTATTTTCTCTAACTGTATAGTCTATATTCAGTAGGTGTTTTTTTAACTTGGGTCATCATTTAAATTACTTGAAACTTGGAAAACGCATTAAAAAGGTTTTTTTCGTAAAACCATCCAAATGATATCAATATGATATCAAAATGATATCGGAGGTCAAAATTTACAATAAATCAAAACAAAAAGTATTTTGGTCATTATCTTTTTTTTGCGAATTTATAAGTGGCTTTTAAAAAAGATATTTTTTAATTTATATCAAACATTGACCCCTGGTTTTATTTAAATGGATGTTTTTTCTTATTGCTGCATGTCTATTAATTAGCCAGTTATGAATATTTTATTATGTCATTAAAATGTCACTTAGGTAGGGTTAAACGACATCAGAATTATCTTTAAATTGTTGAATTATAGGCAATTAAATAAAAACATTTTGGAAATAACGGATACACTACTTCACTTTTTTTATTTAACAAATAATAAATACCTAAGTAGGTAGTATGTATTTTGTAAATAAAATTGGTATAATCTACATTACTAATAATGCTAAAACCAGTCAGCATTGAGTATAATCAAGATCAAGTGACTTTTAAAACCACAAGTTAATCTTTGTTTGAAATTTATTTAAATTAATTTAAATATTTTAAGACTTTCAGTTGGTTCCCGTAGAATTTGTTTTGACGGGCTGTGACTTTATGGCGTTTTAGTTACGGGCTGAAGTTAGCAATAGTGGCTTTCGAGCATTTTAGTCACGGGCTGAAGTTAGCTTTATTATAAATTAAGGAAAAGTGAGGTTAAATCCGTTTAATGTTGACAGATGTCAAAGTTTAACAAATAAAATTGACTTTAAATTCTTCTTTGTCTTTGTCGTAGATAAATTATTATAAATTGTTAATAATTAAAAAATAACCGAAATATACATTTTAACACAACTAAATTTGTTGAATATTTCAACAGTATAATTTCTATACTTTGTATACTCATTTATTTACCACAAATACTTAAAAACAAATTAAGAACGATTTATTACTTACTATACGTTATTATATATAATTAATTTTACAATAGAAAATATACCTACAATAGGTAACCTTACTATATTTCATTAAGGCTAAGTTATGTCTAAATATAAAACAACAGTTATTAAAATACAATACACTGTTTTAAGTCAATTGACGTTGCGGTCTTTTTATCAGTTCGTTAAGAAAAACATAATTTGTCATACGTCGGATAGTATATGAGGTTAAAAGTTATAAATTTTACTAAGAAAATCCTAATTAATTAAATTGGATAAGTGAGTAAATGATGTGACTATGTAACTAAGAATTTTTTTAAGAAAACACCTAAATTGAACATGTGTTCGACAAATTTAACATAATGGTTAGGTTTAATTAATATTATTATTATTATTATTACTACTTGATTAAATTGTTGATTATTATACTTTATGTCACACAAAATTATAAATAATTATAATTTTAGGCTATATTTAGGAATTTTATAGAAAAATAATAAATTTTTGATATTAAAATTAAAATTTTATTTTAGTATATTAATGTCATAAGACGTCATTTTGTCGCACGCGGACAATTTTGTAATGTAATGGACATGAGTTCTTTATGCTATTTTATCTATTTTGCAAAATTTCTATAAAAAAAATAATTTTATACCTTAAATTTAATTTGGTCGAATTTTACTTTAGATAGTTGGTACCACAGTCATTGGTTTGACAGTTAATGTAAAAATCGATTCGCCATGCCGTCCTTAATTTACTTATTTACAATAAGCGGCTGTTAATGTTAAAGAAGAAAAAAAGGATTTTCTTTGGTGTTAAACAAAATTTATTGCCAGAAAAGTCTCGTAAGTACTAGAATATTCATAAAAATATTATAACCTATATGCAAAATATTATGCTGTTTAAAGTAGCCAACCTATAAAATCAAAATTTTGGGTGGGATAAAGTATCTCATTGCAGGTGTTAAAAATGAGAGAAAAAACTGTTTGAGTTGATTTTTTTTTAATATACACATTTAAAAAAAGTAGCAATCAACAATTTAACATTATTTTAATTTAAAAAAAAATCCGTTGTTGCAGAGAAAAAAACAATTTAATTTGATATTGAATTAAATGCATAAGTCCATTGAAAATGGTCTATGTTATTATGTTAATTTTATAAATCGAAGTGTCAAATAAAACGGAAGTGTAATGTTTATACAGCACCGAATGAGTTTTTTTTCGGCCCGGTAGAATATTCTTACTGAATTAAAAGAAAGTGAATAATAATACATAATTATTATAATCATAATATTATATGATTTTTGTACAGTAAAAATTTGTACATTTTTCGAAAATTTTAAAAATTTTCGGTTATTTTAACGTTTAATAAAATGTTTCATATTTTTCATAAATTTGAAATTTACACTTTATAACGTTTTGATGCGGTTTTAACTGATTTATAGAATACAGAAGAAATATATTCTAAAACGAAAATTTTGCGAAAAAAACTGTGTGCCAATTATGCAGGTTAATTGTTTTAACCTGAATACAAATTAAATAAATTAATTAACATATTTCATTTTACCTGCATAGGTTTTTTAGGCGAAGCTTCATTTTTAACCGGCAAACTTTTATTCAGCTCAGTTGCAGCTTCAACGCTAACCTCGTTTTCACCACCCTTGCCCATCTTTTACGTAGTCTATTTATTACACGAGATTATACAGTCAATTCCACAAAAAAATCACAACTTTTTCTATTCACTCATACTTTTTAGCGCGCACACTTCTCGCGACCGTTCTGTCCTGCTTGGAAGTTTGAACACTAAATCCGCGGGTAGCGCTAGCAAAGCGATTATATAGGGTGTGAGAGACACACGGTCGAAAGCTGCACTGCGATTGGTCGAATTTAAAGGCGTGCGTGAAGAATTTTCGAGCTTAGCACAACAGTTGTCTTTTATCTTTCTATAGTATACTTACAACGAGTTTTGGGTCATGAATAGCACTTTACGAGCAAGTTACATGGGAATGTTTCTAAAATATGATTTTTTTTGCTAATGCACACTGTTATAAAACTCATACTTAAATATAAGAATATTTGAATTTTTAATAATAGTTTTATAGAAACATGCAAAAAAGTATAGTAATTGGACATTTTATTCGTTTTTGTAAATATCATATAATTCATATATTTCTTTCTCGGATTCCTCATCCCTTTTCTGAATGCTGAAGGTACACCGAGAAAAATCTGAGATTTATAATTAACCAACGATTGTTTTCACAAATAATATTAATAAATAAATCAACTTGGGTATTATTAACAATAGCGTGTTTGTATAAAGTAAATTAGCATTTACAGATTAACAATAAATATATGGATAGGATTAATGCTAACACAGCGTTTCTTATAAAAAAAAATATTTATATATTAATAGTTAATCAACATTGCGTTACTGTCAACCTGTAATTGTTTAAAATATCGGAAGTATATAATGCATTTAATTTAAACCATTTTTATTAATAATAAATAAATTTGTTCTCCCCCCAGGCCACTCGAGCAAGCTCAGTTTTAGCGGTTCATGTTGCACAGCGGAAGCTTTGTTCTGTCGGCCATTGATAAAAAAGATGCATCTTGTTCTGTGATTTTGTTCTGTGGAAGGTGTGTGGGTGTAAAAAAAGCGTGTAATTGCATCAGATGTAGTTTACTTGTTGGGAATCGTATTAAGTTGCTCTCATAAATGGTATACCATCAACAGGTGCAATGCACTAAGAAATAATGGAAGAATTAACGAAATTTTTAAGTGACACAGGTTTGCCCTCCCTATTCTCGGATTTTGTTGGTAAGTAAAGTTATAGCTACTTTATCATTTCATTATGATGGCTTGGCCTAATTTCCTCGATGTTTTGTGCCTAAAGTAATCAAATAAATCCAAATCTTGTTTTCATTGGCTGTCTTTAGCTAGGTAGGTATTGCTTGTAATTATTTTTAACATGCGTATATTTATTATTAACACACTGTTTTAAATAGTAATAAAAATGCATACCCACGCTAGTTAATGTTTAACTTCTTTCTTTTTTATCATATAGAGAACTGCATTGAGGACTTAAGCAGTCTGCAACAATTAGTACTTCACGAGGAGGAAAGTTTCAAGGTGTTGAGCCGAAATAATTAATATCGGTATCTTGGTTGCCTAACTTCGTGCGCCTTAGTTTGAATTGTTTAAACTGTGTGTTTTTGTCATATTTTTTTGGGGTATTTATTTTACAAACATTTTAATTCGCTTCGCGAATTTAGTTTCCGTACGTAAGTTAAAGTGTTAAAACCTCTGGAGTCGTACAAATATTAACAACCTTAATAATTTGTTTTCCGGTTTAGGTAAGGACATATTATTTATTTTAAGCCAGATTAGCTATTGCTGAATTGCATTGTAATTTTAATAATATAATATATATTTAATATAATTTTCACGTACGTAAGGCTAAAAATAGTTTAAATTTTTAGCGCTTTGCTTGAGACGTATCCTGTAACCATTGGAGAAATAAAAACAACGAATCACCCCACAAAAGTGTTTCTTTTTTTCGTACTATACCAGCAAAACCCACAGCTCTCCGACTGTTACGCTACATCTTGGCTCCCAACGTGAAGCTGGTGATTAAAGAACACTTTAATATGTTTGGTGAACATCCTCCAAAAGAAAATGGAAAACGAACCACCCGACAATCGTCAAAAAATCAGCAGAGGTCAAACCTACCGGCCGAAGGTCAGCTACCGGTAGATGAACCGCCACGCACGGACGCTGACGCAGAATCGGCGACATGCATGCCGGCAAGCAGCCATCAGGACCAAGGAGCAAGAGTGGGTCCCTCAACAGGAGCAGTAAAAAGACATTACACCCAGGGGCTGCCTAGGATGCCTACAACTCCCTCCACGGCGCCCGCATCACCCTACGTGGAAGGAAACCAAGGTAGGAGAATTCCAATTTCTTTCTCCCTGAACCAAAGGCCAGTTGATGAACAACATCTTCAACATAACTTTAATAATGTTAGGCAATCTGGCTTAAATATTGGTTTACCTAGTCAAATAAATAGTGATAGGGAGTTTACAGACATAAATCGTCCTTCAGACATGAACAATTTGAGTTTAAATAATTCAAATGTAGGTTTTGCGGGGTTGGCACCTAATAATCATCCTCCGCAAACTTGGGCTCCCTCTGCGACTTTTCCTCGCGATAGAGTTAACTTAAATAATTCGCAGCGTTTATTTACCGCGACAAATAATGCTGATTATAGGGTGGCATCTCCATATTGCAACCCTGCATGTGGAGATTATTCTTTCCAACCCAGAATAATTCCGGGTGCTTTTAATAATTTTTATAATGGTTTACCAGATAGTGGTAAAATATTACCAGAATTCCACGATGACCAACGAGTCCACCCAGTGGAATTTGTGCGTCGTTTAGAAAACGCGTTAACGACTTTCAATATTGATTTCAATATATTTCCGAGCTGGTGTGAGAAACAATTTAGGGGTAAAGCGAAAGCATGGGCAGACGCGCTTCTTTATACGTTTAATCACTTTGACGCATTTAAGGCAGCTTTTCTAAACCATTTTTGGAATGCGACACGCCAAACTCAAACGAAATTAGAGCTTGAAGCTGGCAGATACTATTCTTCCTCGGGTAGCTACGTCGATCACTTTTTAGTAAACGTTGCCAAAGCCAGGTTTTTACTACCTGCCTACGCAGAAAGTGACTTAATTGCCATAATTGCAAGGCATTATAGTCCGACAATTTCATGCGCACTTATCGGCGTTATTAATATAGAAGATGCACTGGATAGGCTGCGCCTAGCAGACCACTATAATTCTGCGGGAAGTTTTGACAGGAACTCGCGCCGCAATATCGCTCGTAATGAAACGCCTACTCAAGATAAGTATCAAAATAAAAGTGATAACAATAATACAGAAAAAAGAGCTGGTCGCTACATAGTGTCAGCACTGACGACAGATTCGGGTAATGAAGAGTTTATTGGGCCGTCGGAAAACTAGATTTTCCTCTAGCCATCGGTTCGGGTTCGGGGAACTTAAAAAAATGCAGAACCAAAATAATTAATAGTAATAATCCGCTTTCAGAGATTTTAAATGATTGCGACTTTGACCACAGTGTTGATTTTGCTGAAGTACGTTGTCCTGTCGTTAATTTTAACGTGGGGGACTTTTCTTTTCCATGCTTAATAGACACGGGAAGTACGGTTTGTTGCGTTTCACAAAACGCCTGGGAACAAATTACAACGGCAGATCCAAATCTGCCTATTTTCCCGGTAACAGGAATAAAAGTATCAGGGGCTTTTAAGGCAAAAAATAGGAAAGTAACGCACCAGGCACAGATAACTTTTAAACTTAATGAATGCATTTTTCAATTTGAATTCCTTTATGTACCAGACTTAATTTATCCAGTTTTAATTGGTTCAGACTTCTTGAGAGTCTTCTCCGCGTCAATTGATTATAAACAAAAATGCGTTTTTCTACAAAAAGGCTCTAATATAGTAAAAATTAATGAAATCAAACTATTTCATGACCTAAATCCCCCATCGTCTTTACAAGCGGAGATTATAAATCGCGGTCAGGATAAGTTAATCTTAACATTAAACCTAAACCATAATCTTGCAGCTAATCCAGATATTCTTAATAATATTCATCTTGGGGAGGAACACAAAATTTTGTTTGGGAAATTACTCCAAAAGAATAAACAACTTTTCTCAGATATACCGGGGCGAGTCGAAATGTACGAGCACCGGATTTTATTACGCGATACTACACCATTCTTTTTAAAACCATATCCCATCCCTATAGCGCATCGTGCCGCGGTTCAAAAACAAATCGACTTAATGGAACGGTGGGGAGTGATCGAGCGCGCTGAAACGTCGTTTAGCAGCCCGCTGTGTACAGCGGTCAAACGCGATGGCTCTGTGCGAGTGTGTTTAGACGCGAGGCGTTTAAATTCGGTAATGTTTTCGGACTCGGAACTGCCTAGGCCATTGGAAGATATTTTTAAAGACTTGCGCTCACCAAAGTTTATGTCCATATTAGACCTAACCCACTCCTATTGGCAAATTCCGTTAAGGAAAGAAGATCGACAATATACTGGCTTTTTGCATGGTACCAAATCATACGTATTTAACGTTTTGCCATTTGGACTTAAGACTGCTGTCAGTAGTTTTACTAGATGTATGGATAAAATACTTGGCCATCTTAGGGATTTCGTTAAACTATACGTAGACGACATTTTGGTCATATCTTCCTCTTTTGACGAGCACCTAAAGCATTTGCGTCTAGTTTTTGAAAAGTTAACGGAAGTGGGGTTTACTTTACGTTTAGATAAATGTAAATTCTTCCAAAAAGAAGTCAATTACTTGGGGTACACTATTAATGCTACGGGCATGCGTCCAGATACCTCGCGGGTGTTAGCTATAGAAAACTTTGCGGCACCGCGTAACATAAAGCAGTTAAGGGGATTTTTGGGGTTATGTAACTTTGATCGCCCGTTCTGTCAAAACTTTTCCACAACAGCGGAACCTTTATTTTATTTGCTTAGGAAAGAAACTAAGTGGTCATGGGGCGAGACTCAGCAACGCGCTTTCTCTGATCTTAAAGACCTGATTAAGAAGAGTATTTTATTATATCATCCAAACT